CCGACCAGAGCCTGAACCCGCTGCTGAGCCTGAGCAGGGTGCTTTCCGTCACCAGAGCAGCCACTGGAGGCGTGGTGGGGGCCGTTCTCAAGAACACGGCTGGCACTGGCTTCGCCAGGCTGCAGTTGGACGCCAACGCTGCCTTGGGCTTTGCGCAGCTGGAGGTCGCCTCCACCGGCGGCTGCACCCTGAACGCACCGGGACAAGAGATCTGGCTGCAGAACCGGGTCACGGGGCAGGCGCCCCTGATCGTGGAGACCAACTCGGACGTGACTGTGAGCTACGGCTTCAACAACCTCTCTCGGAAGCCAGGGTCAAGCAGAACATCAGAGAGGCCGACCTCGAGGCGCTGCAAGCCATCTTCGACAGGGCTGAGCCGAAGATCTACGACCGAAGCGACGCGGAGATGACGGACCGCCGAGGCTTCTTGGCGCAGGACTTCCAAGGCAGCGGCGTCACCGGCACGACGAAGCGGGAGGGCCAGGAGCTGCTGACGCTGGATTACAGCCGCCTCACGGCAGTTCTCTGGGGCGTCTGCAAGCGGCTTCAGAGCAGGGTCGAGGCGCTGGAGGCGAAGCCTAAGGCAAAGAGACGAGCCCCAGCGTGATGGCCGAGGAGGCGGCCATGGAGCTCTTTCGGCAGCTGGCCAACGACTTCAACGTGCGCGACCCTCGCAAGCTCTACCTGCTCGCCCGCCGGGAGTTCCCCGGACGGCCGGCCATGACGCAGGCCAGGGCCAGGACGGCGCTGCAGGGAGACGTGGCCAGGCAGGTGCTGGCGCCGAAGCCCAGGAGCTTGGGCAAGAGCGTGGCGGAGGCCCAACGACAGGCTGCAGGCGGACTTGATCGACTTCAGCAGAACACGAGGAGCCGCAACAAGTACGGCCTGGTGGTGACGGACGTGTTCACCAGGGAGGCGGTGACCAAGGCCCTGCCGAACAAGAGCGCGGAAGCGGTGGCCAGGGCTGCCGCAGAGGCCATCCCGGAGCTGGTGCAGGAGGAAGGGAATTACGTGGTGACGACGGACGAAGGGAGGGAGTTCAACCAACTGGAGCAGGCCCTGCCGCAGGCCGCGGTGCACCGGACCAAGCGGCCCGAGGACAGGAACGCCACCGCAGTCGTCGATCGAACCATCCAGACCTTGAAGAAGGGCCTCGCCGGCGAGGTCGCAAAGCGAGGCGGGCAGTGGGACCGGCACCTCGAGAACACCACCGAAGCCTACAACGCCAGGCCGCACGAGGCGGTGCACGCAGCACCGGAGGACGTCGAGACGCAGCCCGCCACGCAATTCAGGGTGCTCCAGGACAACGCAGAGAAATTCCAGCACAACAAAACACTCACGGAAGGCAGACAGGCCCGCTTGAAGGCCGCCGGAGCCTTCAGGGCGCCGACGAACGCCAGGCGCAGCTTCGAGCCCAGCTACGGCGCGGCCAAAGAGCTTGCAGGGTACGATTCTACGGTTGTCAGGGGCACAGACGGCAGCGAGACGCTGCTCAAGCACGCGCTCCCAGTCCCGAGGGGCAGCGCAGAGCCGGCGGCGAGGCTGACAAGGGCTCCTGTGCCGCAGGCTGTGCGACAGCTGCAAGACTTCAATCCAGGGCCTGCAGCGCCCGCCCGCTGACGCCTCAGCTTGCACACCGCCAACTGCTTGCCCGCTGAAATTCGTGTGGTCATTTCTTTCTCTTGCATCATACATGAAAAAGAAGGAAAATGCAGACTGATGCGCTGGCTGCCGCTGTTCATTCGGAACCCACGGAGGCAAACCTGGTGCATCTCTTGGATGAATGGTCATTAAGATGGAAACGCAGAGGGTGCACCCGAGCGATCGGACCTGGAGCATATGAGAAATATTGCACGCTTGGACTCTACGCTCATGGAGGCGTTTCTGGCATTTCGCGAGCATCGGATGATGAGAATGCTTGCAGAGCCGTCAATCATTTTCTGAGAAACAGATTTCCGGGCAAGACGTGGACTTCCATCGCGATTCTCTGCAACCCAAAGATGGGACTTCATCGCGATCTCCTGAACTTGGAAGGCCATCCCAATCATGCAATCACACTAGGCTCATTCACCGGAGGTCGAGTTTGGGTGGAAAATGAAAATGGCGATGCTCCGGCCGAAGTTCAACTGAGAACCAAAACTCGAGCGCTCATGGGATCGTGGCACGACATACATGACATACCCATCACCTTCAACGCGCGTCGCTTTCATCAAGTCGAGCCACATGAAGGTCATATGTGGGCGATGGCCGCTTACACGCCGCAAGCCTTCAAATGGCTTTCAAATAAAAACGCGAACAGACTTACATCTTTGGGCTTCCCTGTTCCTTCATCATGCAGCCATGGAGGAATGAATTAGCGGCGCCGCCTGCAGCACCGCCAGCCTCGGGCGGTCTTTCGTCGCCGCGGGCCTTGCCGCTCTGATGATCCGATGCTCCGATGATGCTCCGCGGGCCTCGCCGCTCTGATGATCCGCCGATGCTCCGCTCGCTCGGGGGGCGCGTCAACCCCGTCAACCCCGTCAACCCCGTCAACCCCTGCGGGTCCGCCGGGAATCCCGCCGCGGAGCCGCAAGATGAGCGTCAGCGGAGCCGCAAGATAAGCATCAGCCGAGCTGCAAGATGAGCATCAGCGGACTTGGCAGTTGCTGGGCTCTTCAGCCTTGCAACTTTTGGCATCAGCGGACCTCCGGCCGGAAGGCGGCCGCAGAAATGCATTATGGCGGCTCCGGGGCGGCCTCAAACCGAGGTTGACGAGGTTGACGGGGTTGACGGGGTTGACAGAGCATGTCCGGGGCGTCGGAGGGCGGTCGGAAATGCGTCTATGGGGCCTTGCGGCGGCCTAAAACAGAGGTTGACAAGGTTGACGGGGTTGACAGAGCATGTCGGGGGGCGTCGGAGAGCGGTATGGAAATGCGTCTAGGGGCCTCGCGGCGGCCTAAAACAGAGGTTGACGAGGTTGGCAGGGTTGACAAGGTTGACAGTATTAGGGTTCGTCTAGGACCGCTGCTTGGTGGGATTGCTGCCTGTCGGGAACGTATAAGTGCCATGTATTGATATCCATGGCAAATGGATTGCGCCGGCTAAAAGTTTACCAGAAATGCGCCACTTCACTTGTGCACGACTTTTGTACAGTTTTGTATAGTTGCTTGTTGCTTCGCACTATCTGAGTGTTATTTGCGGTTTGTCGCTGGCCAAAGGAATGGACAAGCGGATAGGCTTTTCACTTCCCTTTCTTGCTGCCCATCCCTTCCCTTCGCACCTTCCCATCTCTTCTGTCTCTTCCCTTCCCATGTACAGCTTGTACAGCGGGAGTTCCACTTCCCAAGTAGGACATAAAAGGTGTGACTCTTGATTTTGCGGTTCGCGAGTGAAAAAACCCTAAGAACACCATAAGAACCCAATTTCCCCCCGCCCTAAACCCTACACCCTAAAGGCCCTAAACCCGAAATTTTGCTTTTGAATGCCAGATTGTCGCAAGAAGTCCACAAGGACTGCAGATGCCTCCGGGCATGTGCTGCCTCATCAAAAGCAGATCAGTAGATTCCAAGCAGCTGGGCAGTTTTTGCATGCTTTCACTGTCACCCACTTCCGCACAGAGTTTTATGGCAGGCCTGATCCTAAAAGCTTACGATCCTCAGCTTGAGCACCAGGCGATGGCCTGGAGGGCCGACAGTGCACAGAGGTGATATCGTGATTGCAGTGTGTGTATATATTTCCCAAAACTTGCAGTTGAACTGTTGAACGCAGCTTCAATCCTGATCACAGAAATTTGATTCTCTAGAGACACTGCCAAGAGAACTGCCAAACCACGGACAGAGACAATAGTTTCAATAGTCAATAGGTGGTTGCACTGTGAAGCATGTTGAGCCGCTGAGCTGCTTGACCACGTCATGGCTTTGCTTTAGTCATGAAAATCTCGAGATCTTGGGCATCCGCCGTCATGGCTGGTGTGTTTTTCCTTTGTGCTGTTGG